GAAGGCCTTTCTAACCTCCGTGAATTTCTGCGCAGTGCTGCATTTTTGCTAGAGGACTAGTAGGTCTTGCTCTTGTCCTGTGGTTTTGCACTTGGCTGTTCAATGTATGCTTTATTTTTACTTCTCATCTCCCTTTACAGAGAGTTGACTGAGCCTCCTTATATGGCTTTTGTCATTTGTACATAGCATGCTGGATTTTCAGCAGGCTACAGGACTCAGAATTCCCTGTGCTAACATTTGCTTTCTGTATGGCGGTAATTGAATGGGAGGAGCAAGGTGCAATTGATTGGCACGTATCAGAGACAGGAAGAAATATATTATGCTCTGTGGCTGCCATTCAGTTTGGGGAGAAACCAAATTTCTAATTTTGAATTACATTTGCAATAGAGGAAATATGGGCTTTAAAAATATTTAATTTGAAGTGTCCAATTCGGTTAACTACATAGGTATCAACAGAATTACCCTGTGATCCAGTGCATAGGACTGCCAATATTTGAAAGTATTTTTTGGACTAATGACTGTGAAATAGCATGGAAAAGACTGGGCGATAACAGCATCACCTGGATCACCCTTATTCTATTAGCACTCAAAACATGTTCCACATGGGCAAAGACAGATGCCTCCTCATACCTGAATAAGCCCCAGAGCATCATCTCCCAAAGTTTTGAGCTGTAGAGCATCATCAGCTCTCAGGGTTCCTGCCGGGAGCTCGCATAACGGTGTTTGCAATCGCAGGCGCTGTTGGAGCTGTATGGTTGCACAGAGCAGATGCAGACCGTTCAATGTTGCCTAGCGGGTCACCAGTGAGCCACACTTACGGAACTGTTGCATATGCCATGCAATACTATCTCTGTCTGATTGTTATTTTCCCAGTTAGCTCTTCTGTTTATACTTACGGTATAGTTTGCCCTGCATTTCCTAGTGCGGAAAATTAATAATAGCTCTTCATAAAGCAGAGTAATTAGTGTAATGAGCTGATGTCTGGTACGTGCATTTTCTCCTGCAAGAGCCTAGAAGTCTAAATAAACATCTAAGCAACTGTACTGCTTAATAAAATAGCAGGCTTTCCTAACTGAAAGGTTGTGCTTTTAAAGATTTTTAGAGTACTTTAATGTGCATAGCCTTCAAGATAATGGCCAAAAACATTTCCAGAGATAATTCTGTGTTATTTGGTAAAGGAGTTAGTCTGCCACTCTAGTCTCCTACTCTAAACTGCATATATGAAAGTGCTGACATAGGAGATAGTATCCAGCAGAACCACAAAAATTGTGGGCTCCTCTTATCTGGTCACTGCTAGTCAGCAAGAACTATCTCAGTCAATATTTTTATCAGAAAATTAGATCTCACGTCAAGAAATCAGGTTTTGTCTCTCTCAGTGCTGTTGCAAGCCACCTTGCTCTTTTTGTGTCCTGTACTCTGGTGTATTCTCATAATCTTGTTTTAAACTAGGGGAGACGATGGCCAGAGTGACAACTGCAGAAGACCTCCGTGCCTTGCACCCCTCCTCTCAAGGCACCACATTTATCCCAGGATCTCATTCTGCACAAAACAGAGCATCATTGTGTGGCAGCAGGCAGCACTCGATTAAATCAGCTGCAGGTTTGTACTGAAGTCTAAGTGTTTATAGTCTTGGGACTTCAAGTCCGTCTGTTGCTCAGAGGATAAGCACTGTGTAACTTGCAGGTGGTATCATCTTCTCAGTCCTTTCTGTCCTACTCTTTGCTTGGGGTTCAGTGGTGTTTTTCAATGTAGCAAGTTGCAGTGGCCAAGGAGCCCTTGTGCTGTTTAGAGTTTGGGGCACGTTTCCCTCACTACTTTGAGAGAAGTTGTCTGTCACAGATACACCGTGTTTGCTGGATCCTGTGGACACGAACAAAATCAATCTAGTTCTACTGATGGAGAGACGGTGGAAGAAGGAGCCATGACCCTTCTCACCCAACTCTTGTTGCTCCTGCTTGTATGTGAGGAAGCAGAGTCTTTATTTTCTTCCCTTCTCCAAAGTCCATTGGAACTAGAGAGAGATGCCTTCTTTGGACCACTGTCTCACTTCTCAAGTCATTACAAGATCACTGTTTCCAATTATAACACATTAGCAGATTTGATATACATCTTATCCTTTGGGAACTCATTTGAAATGACTATACACTTACTACAGAAAGCTCATTTTCTGGAGCAGAAAGATTTATAGTTTATTCCAATCAAGTATGAATTTGCTGTTAATCCCAATGTGGACATTCCTCTTGCAAGTAATTTTTAATTATTATCATGCAAGGCTTCACATATCACGGTTCGTGTCACTTTTCCTCCTCTCCTTGCCATGTAGTTTTAGATTTAGGGACAGATTCATTGTAGGAGTAAGCTGTGACAGCTCTATTGATTTCACCAAAGCTGTATCCAGCTGTGAATTTGAATGCTTTCTTTTGTCGGAATGGCTTGAAGTTGAAATGAAATGTGCAAGGCATCCATGATTGTATACTTTTATTGTAAGGAAGGGATGAGCATAACAAAAAAATTTGGCTCTCATAAAGCTGCAGCAAAGCTGTAAATAACAAAAAGCTGTATTTTGTCATCTTGCTTTTTGTAAACAAAGTTTCTTATGAAGGCAGTTACATTCTGTTTAAAGCAGATCCTAGATTAAAGTTTGGAAAAAACATAAATGCCTATGAACTAGCCCCAGTGTTCAGATTTGTGTACAAAACCTCCTTTGATTCAAGTAGAAGGTAATTAAATGCTCATAGCTGTGGCTGAATTTGGCTCATTATGAATCCAAAGAAACATCAGGCCAAATCTTTTGGTCCTTGTTTAATTCTTACTCAAGTCTAATGAGAGCCAGAGGTGCCTTAAGTAATGTAAGGCATCCCTGTATGCTATATTGTGCTGTCAGGTACTTCCACTTTCCATTTCTGGTTGTGTTTTCAGTGCGAAAGGGGCTGGCATGTGCTAAAATGCTTACCAGCCATAGCCTCTATACACAGATAATGAATATTGACCCTGCTGCTACCTGATATCTCTACCCAAGGCTCGATAACTGAATAAAGTCTCTAAATTTTACAGGGCAAAGACATCTTCTCTGTAGTTTGAAGTGAGAGGGCTGCTGTCACAGAATGTATTAATGCACTGTAACTTTATTTATTGTTTTTTAACTTGTAAAACATCAGTGTATATTCCAACTTACTGGTTTGGCTGTAGTAGCAGAAAGGGAAACACCGGAATCTTTTATTTAAATACTTACAACTGTATTTGGTTATTTATTGCTTTCAAATCAGTGGACAAACAATAACAGATTTACTTATATATTTCTAGATACGGACTGATTTGTGTTCTCAGAAAAATACGTGACTTGGGAGTATCTGATAACTGCTTAATATATTTTACAGCTATGCCTGTGAGCTCTGTCCCAGATCCCGCATTATTCTCCTGGGACATTGGTCAGATCTTACTTCAAAAGGCAGCTGAAAAAGAAGATGAACTGAAAAAAGCATTTCGGATGCTTGATGTTGGTCAGACCCTGACAGTCACAAAGGATGAATTCAGGAGAGTGATTGAAACCTTTCTCTTCCATCTAACAGAAGCTGAATTTGATGCTGTGCTGGCAGAGGTATGCTACGTCATTGCTGTTTATAATCATTTAGAGGCTGTTCCTATTTATGTCAAGAGCAAAATTTCAATGGGAGCCAGTTCCAGACCAATGTGATCGAAAAAATGCTAGACATGGTCAAAACCTTCTGTTCAAGTGAAAGTCACAGAAAACTTGCAAGAGTAATGTGAGCTAAATTTGACAATTGGTATGTTTATATGAGGATTTTGTCTGCGTACCGTGTCTCGCTATTTGAAAGAGCTGCAATTTACTAGCAGATTTTTTTTTATTTAAAAAAAAAAAGATCTCACAGCTTAAATTCATATACATGCGGTGTTATGAATATGCATAGATTAGGTTGTGAACTCTGAGTCAGAGACCAGCTGTTTTTTGTCTGCATGGGGAGATTTGCATCTCACTTTTGGTATTTGCTACCTTACAAACCATCATCAGATTGGACTTGAAGGAACATTGAGTGTTTTTATGATATCAAGACTGACGCTTATCAAAAATTGAGGAGGATCCTCATGCACAATCTGCACCAGCATTATTGTACACCTAAATTTCTGTCCTGAAAGTGTAGGTGACTGGGTTTTATATATTTATTTTTTTTCTAATGTACTTGACTCTTGTTTGTTTAATTTGGGTGAACTGATTGATTAATTTGCATTTGAAACTAATCAGTCTGTAACAGGTTAAGCCCATTTCAGCTAAGATTGATGTTAAATTCTTTTCTATACTAAATTGTCATTAGGGGGACACATATACACCTGAAACATTAAATAGTCTTTTGGAACAAGAGAAGGATACATCGGCGAGGGGCATGAGAATGAATATACTTTCATATATACATGTGAAATATCATAGAGCTAGGGAATTGAGAAATCTTTATCTTACATTATGGAAAGACTCGTAGGTTGTAACTTTTTTGGGAGGGATTTACCAGATATTAAATTAATGCTCTCTTAATTCCAGATGCTGAGAAGTAGTAATGCGTAATACACAAACCAAAAAACCAAAATTGTAAGATAAATTTATTTTTGCTGTTTAAGAAAAGAATGAGTAATGTAAATGAAATATTTAAAAACTTGGTATCACTGAAAGACTTATCCATGTATATTGAAATACAGATCCCAAATATTGGCAAAGGTACTGTGCCATATCTTGACTTCCTGTCAAAGTTCACTGGAATTGCCGGAAGTACTAGCATGCTCAAAAGGTAAGTAAATGTTCCATATTATGCAGTCGAATTGCTCCTAAACTGTAGTCATGAATCACTTGTGAGTTGTCTAGCTCTCAAGGCAGGATCTAGCTGCTAACGTGAGCTTCTAGTGACATAGAGATATGATACACTTTCTTCTGAGACCTCTTCCTCTGTGTGTGTAGTTGCCATAGGAATGTTACCTGATTGCCGAAGGGAAGGGAATGGTCTTCTAAGCCACTGATCTGCTACTGGAAAAATATGAACCTTTAAGACTAATCAGTCTGTTCTTTAAATTAACAATGAAAGTTGTTGTGCATGAAAGAAATCATAATTGATTCAGTTTAATAGGGATTTGAAAACATGCCAGTCATCTTGACAGGTCTCTAAGTGAAATGCAGAAGCTAAGCCAAGGGACCCAGTAATGGGAAAGTTATAATGTTTCAGGATTTGATCCTCTAGGAGTAAATAACTCGCATTTGTCTTCATTTCCAGTGCAAGTAATTTTTCAATAATAAAATTGAGAAGCCACCAGCTGTGTGTGAACTGGGATTAAGTTTGGATTCTTACCTTCGATGAAGTAAAATGGAAAGTAGAGCCATACTCTATGTAAAAATAAAAATAAACAAACCCCCCAAATCTGTGCTCTCACAGTAGCTTTTGTAGTGAAGCACTAAATTTTTTTCACATACACACCCCCACCCAGTGAAACAAAAAGGGTGAAATTCTGCGTGGGGATCTGCAGGGAAATTCTTTTTCCTTCAGTTTGTCCTGTGGGTTTGTATGATCTGGCCTTCCATAAAGGGTTGCCTCAAAAAATATTCTGTAAATTCCAGTCCAACTTTGTTCCCAGCGAGTGCAAAACTCTCAGACAAAGAGAGAATGAGGGAGTGTAATACTGAGGATACAAAAATGGGATTAGGACTTTGAAAGGAAGCAGGAGGAAGAAGAGGAGCAGCGAAAGAAAAGAAGAAAAAGGGAGGGACCTAAGCCACTTTCTCCCAGAGAGACAGGGGAGCTTAAAAAATTCTAATTAATTAGTGAAAACTAATTAAATAACAAATGAGGGATCTTTCCTGGAATAAAAGGTTAATCTTTTCTTTATTACATGCAATATAATAAAATGGTAAAGCTTTTTGTACACTTGGGGTTGGATTTTCTTCCAGTGTTCAAGCAGAATACAGAATAAGATGTTACTCTTGATTTCCTTTTGAACTCACTAAAATGTGGAAAGTAAGGATCGTGCTTAGACGATCTTGTCTTTTGAGCAGCCAGTTTGTTAGAGAAGTGCTCCGAGACTGCGATGTGCGGAATCAAAAATAATGGTAGATTTGTTAGAGCTCTCAGGCACTGATCGGTAGTTCCACCACTGGAGGGCAGTCCAGGTGCTGTTTTCCAGGAGTTCTAGGCGGCATTATCAGAGCTGCTTTCACTCCGTGTTTAAAACTCAGCGGTTCCACTGAATTCAGAGGCTGAAATGATGGCAGAGCTTGGCTTCTAGGACTTCCTCCCGCGAATACAGATACGAATAAAATTGCACAAGGCTTTTCAGAAGCAGTTAGTTAAGGCTGAAACCAGAGAAAGGTGTTCAGAGAGGGGAATTCAGCCCCCGTAGAACCCACTAATGAAAGTAAATTTGGCTGGTAGTCAATTCAAAATGACCTGCTCTGCTGCCTGATGCAAGTCAGATGCTGCCTGTTGAAGAAACACAAGCAAAAGCAAGGCGATGTATTTTTAATTTTAAAAATAATTTTAAAATTTACTGGTGACAAATGGATCTCAGATTTGTGCTGAGGGAGGAGATATTCTTGTTGTTCTCTGAAGAGCACTTGATGGGAGCAGAGGAGAGGGGAAAACTGGCACTATAACTTTCTTGACCTTGGGACTCCCAAGTACTCTGTCATCCCAAGGGCCAGCTCAAGCTGCTAATATCCTTTTGCGTCCCTTGTGTTAGCAGCCAAAAAAACATTCTTCAAGAAAAAATATTTCACACTAACAGTCATCACACTTGTGGTCGAGGAGCAGCTGCCACATCTCTATTCTGCTCAGGGATCCAGATTTGTGGTGATTTTCTCCAAGAGCAGTGCAGAGCTGTGAAGAACAGGCACAATGGAGGCAGGGTCAAGCTACTTTCTTGCATTTGTAGTTGTTCACATGCTAAAACGAAACCATCCCATTGATGTCCCTACAGTGGTCTTCAATGGTGCGGCGATGCAGTTGCGGTTTATGTTTGTTGATGCACTTGTGGTTTATGTTAATGTAATCTTTTTTATTATATTTATTTTCAGGTTGAACAGCCACAGTCGCCAAAAAATGACATTAAGGCAGCTGGAATCCCTGCTCAAGGAGAAAGTATGTTGACCAGGGTAATAACAGAAAACACATGCTGATGTTGGGGTGGTAATTCATTTCAGATAAGTAGGTGTTGCACTTGATGTACTGATGTCAGTTTAAAATGATTCTGCCGTGTTGTTGTATCATGAAGATCTGCTCATATTTGCATGCTTAGGGTATTTTTGTTGTTTTTATTTTGTTTTGTATTTTTTTTTAATTATGCTGAAGTACTAAATAGTATTTTAAAAGCCTCTCTAATTCACACTCTGAATCCCTTTTTAGCATCAAAAACCTAAGCACTCTTTCAAGTCTTGCAATAAATCTCTCGTGTAGGACTGGCATAGTCCCACTGTGATTTTATTTCTTAGTTACTAGTTGCTTGTGGCTTGAGTAACAACACTTGACTTATTTAAGAAACCAGATTCTCCATGGCAGTACAATTTCTGTAATTGTTTAGCCCTTTGCAAGACTGGTGTAAAATATTCTGTCACGTCAGAAGAATGGTATTTGAGACATTTTGTACTTTTTTCACTTAGAAGTACCCAGCCACCTGACAGCTCAGTTTACTTAAATCTCAACACAAATTTGAACAGCACAAACCCACTTTTTTAAGTCGAGGAGGAAGTGGTGGTGTGATATGGGAAAGCTAGATTTTTATTATTTTATTTTGGCACGAACTGAGCCATGAAAATCTGTTTGTCAACATAATGATATTTTATTATATTTGGGCATTTGCAAGTTAACCTAATGTCAGATACTGTGCCTAATAATAGTTATTATTTACAAGGACACAGAAGAATATCCCATGCCTTCTAGAGTACTGTGTGACAGTCTGTTGGCTCTACCCTAAGACTGTTCATAGGAATACATTAAACATAACCTGATGTAAATTCCAAGGAAAATCCAACCTCCTGCTGTTCTTGGCATGGGTTTGGCCTGTAATTTGGGAGGGGGAAATAAAATCTTTCTGATTTCACAGCTGTTATTGCACCTCAGGGCTGCAGTCGTATTTGCAACCCATTTGCTTCCCTTCCACTGACTAGGACATCTGAATGTATCCTCACTCTAGTCTGAATAAAATATTAACATATCGTAAGGCTGTTAGGACAGATTGTATCCAAGACAATCTTTTCTCGCTGTAGAAAAGCCTATCAATCATAACTTGGTATAGTTGTTATTAATGTCATAGCTTTTATTCATTTGGCTATATGCAGCTAACTGAAGAGTAACTTATGTTTTCATGTTAAGCATTTCCTATCACAAAAGAAACTGCTGAAATATCTTCTATTATAGAATTTATGAATTGAAAATATCCTCCAAAGTCCTAATTAGTGGTATATTTAATTTACAAGGTTCTGTTATTTTTAACGGCATTGTGAAATAGAGCTGTTACGTATATTTTAGGACATCAACAGAAAACATCATTAACTTAAGGCAAGGTTACTGCTACGTGTATATCCAAGGGACAATTCAGTTAAAGAAGTACTGCAAGATATGTAAATGCATGATGTACGTAGATAATTACTCAGATACAATTAAGAGTTCACATACTCTTTTTAATATTTATCTGCAAAGTATCACAGGGTTATTCCCAAGATAAATCTTATTCTGCTTCTGTTTGGATGCACATCATCAGTCAAGGATACGTTTATATTCGTAACTCTGATTGGATTTTGAATTTGTATGTGCATGTTAAAAAAGAGCACAAAAAAAAACCCAAATCCAAAAGGAAAAGTTCCTAATGTCCTCAGTAAAATACAGAATAGTAATTTTCTCCTTGTGTAGGGAGAAAGGCACATTTGGATCACCTACCACGTGCACGTGTATTTAGACATCATAACTGGCATGATGGCCAAGATCAAGAAAAGCAGCAGGTGGTTCAGAACATCTTCTAGTCAGTGAAAAGACATAGGGGAACCAAGGCCTGACAGGCGGCCTTGGATTTCTCATCACTCTCCTGCACTTAGAAACTCTAGCCATGCTGACAGTTCACTTAATCAAATGATCCAGGACTACCCTTGCCTGTTTTTATGACACCAGAGTTATTTGTTGTATTTGTTGGAAGTAAGCCTTACTGCCTTTGTAGTCATTCTTACTTGCTCAGTAAAGCATAGATAAGCTAGGAAAAGATTCTGAGTATTTCAAATGCCAGGGAAAAACTCTCAAGTTTAGGTTTGACTATAGGAGTTCTTCCATCATTTCTAGTCGAATCTAATAAAATGTTACTCCTGAAGGTCACTGTCTTGGGAAAAGCAGGTTTAAAGAAAAGGGGGAAAAAAACTCCAAACCCAAACAACTGATCAAGTAACAGCAAACTGTAGGACAATGGCCACAACATGTAGGCTCCACAGTGCAGCCTCCTAAGAAAAGAATAGCCTGGGAAGGAGGGCCAAGTGCTGAACAGATGTGTGTCTGGGAATATAAATGATGGTGCGTGAAAGAGCTATTTTCTACTCACTCAGCGAGTGTACAAGGTAGTAAGGCAGCAATGTAGCTGGAATACTTATGCACTTCTTTGTGTTGTGAGTAACAAGAACTGGAACTTTCATACCGTACCAGAAGCCCAGACTCTTCTTTTCCATGCTCTCCTAGCCAGCTGATGCCCTAGCTGCATCCTACTGCCCTGTTTCAGCAGAGACCTGTTCAATGAAGAGCAGTGTGTCTTCTAAGCACCCAAATCCACCTTCTTTTTCTTTACAGAGTGCAATTTCACTGACTAGGGACAAGATTTGTTCCCCAGTAACACTTGCAAAAGTATATGGCACCATAGAAAGGAGACTCAACTTCAATGACACAGTGTTCTCGCATGTTAAAAAATAAAACTTTGATCAAGAAGAGCTTGCAACCTGAAACAGTTTTTTCTTCAATGACAGCGAAAGGACTCTTCTGATGTGAGTCAGCCCCTCCAAATAATAGCCTCCTTAAGAAAGGAGTGCAGTAAGTATGAGAGAGAAATAACGAAGACCCAGTTTGTCTGAGTGCAAAGATGGCTCTGTACTGCATGTGCACATTCATTATACGTGGAGATCTTTCATAGCTGGCTGGTGGGAGTGAGAATATTATATTAGCTAAATTCAGACCCCGACTGTTCATCTTTAAGGATTACGGAAGTGCTGGGATTGATTCGCATTTACAATAAGGCTGTTCATGTAAAGCAGAATGTAAAGAGGACTGAGAATTGATTTATTCTGTGTACTCGTTGCACAAATTTCAAGGTCTCTAAAAATTGCTAATGGGTTGTAAAGGGCTATCAATATGAACAAGCATCAGGCCCATATTTTCCTCACTCCCCTTACTCTTATCTCCCCTCCCCCATTAATTTTTGATTTTATGTTTATGAGGATCTGAAAATAGTCTAATTCTTTTCTATCTGGTTTGGGCCTATCTTTACCAGCTGGTAAATAGGAAATGTTCACTGTAGGAAGCCAATACTCTGCAGAGTGTAAACAGATGGAATCAATATAAAGTGACAAGTTAGACTGTGCTACTGAGAATACAGAGCCAAAACTAAGAGCATAACAGTCACGATACTTATTTTGTTCCAATTCATTTGGTACTGAATAGCACTTCATATATGCACAGCTGTGTCCTTCCGTTTTTTACTTTCTTTCTTCTGGTTTGATGATGACAATTTCAAAGAAAAACTTTAATTAAAGATTTTACACAAAATGGCCCAAAGTAGAATATAGGGAAAATGAGCACTGATGTGTTTATAGCAAGAGGAGAATATTTTTCAGGCATTTATTTTCTTTCTTTCTTTTTTAACAAAACAAACAGAATCTGACGTGTGTATCTCTCTGCGTGTAATATGCTAGATTGATAGATCTTTGCAGATTGAAACCTTCCATTTGGTGATAAAATATATAACCATACCTCCAAAAGCTTCCCTCTCATCCCCTTTCTTCCTCTGGTGCCTGTTACAGCAGGGTGCCATGAAGGGCAGGAAAACTACATGTGCATTTCTGCATGGGTGTGCTGGCCGAAGGGAAGCGGACAGTCAGACAGACAGGCTGCTACAGACTGTCCTGAGACAGACTGGAAGCAGAGTGGCTGAGGGTCTTCCTTTTCCTGCCCTGGCCAGCTTGCCTCACATGCACCTGCTCCACTCTCGAGAACAGTGTTCTGGAGACCGTGGATCTGATGCGTGGTCCCTTCAGGGGCGGTTAGCAGGGTGGTAAGCTTCCAAGCTGTCCTGTGTTGCAGGGTTTGCCTTGAAAGCACATCTGAGCTCTAGTCCTTTTGCCAGAGAGAGTGCCAGGTGTTATAGTATCGGTTTTTCTTTACTAATTTATGCATTTTTGACACATTTTCACAAAAATGGAAGAAGGCAGCATGTTTTACCACTCTGTCCCCAACTCATTCCTTGCAGCAAATTTCTTAGTGCTGCCATTAAAATTTTGCTATTTTTGCTTTCTTGGCAAATAATAACCCCAGATTTCCCATATGTTGTTTATTAGGGTGACTGCATGGCTCTAATGAGGGGCAGCAACCACCAGTTTGAATACAGATTTTGCTTCTGATCCTCATGTCAAGGGCAAGCAGCTTTTGTTTCCTGAGGAAGAAACACTGGGTCTGTCTCAGTCCCCTCCGCGCATATCCCCCTAGATAGGCAAGCCACCATAGCGCGTCTGTGCAGACCTTCTCTGCCTCACCATCCAGCCAGCTACCTTCCCGGCAAAACACAATTCTCCTCCTAACTATAATGCTAGGGGCCTGTTTGTCTCGGGGATTCCCTAAAACCTCTTCAGATCCATACAACATCAGAAAGAAGGTATATGTTATTGTTGGCAGAATCCAGGAGTTTGGGGTAATGGGAACACGTGCAAGTCCCTTGCCAGATCTCCTTCCCACCCTTGCCAAATACCCTGAGCCACCAAGCAAGTTCCGTAAAGGCCGGGAAAGGGAAGCAACACATGACGCAGGCGGCACCTTACAACCCCAGATGCATGGGAGACACAGGGGCTGAGGCAAATGCCTTGATATACAGTGATTAGGAATACTTGTGTGGGTAGCAAAATGAACTTCAGTGATTTGAGGCAGGAAATCATCTCGCAGTAAGCCACAGTCTACATAAAGAAGTGTCTGGAAGTTCCTGCTGTTGCGATACCTGTAGAGGATGTGTTTTAGAATCATAGAACAATTTTGGTTGGAAGAGACCTTCAAGATCATCAAGTCCAACCTTTGTCCCAGCTCTACCAACACCACTAAACCACGTCCCTAAGTACAACACCTACCCATCTCTTAAACACCTCCAGGGATGGTGACTCTACCATCTCCCTGGGCAGGCTGTTCCAATGCCTGACAGCCCTTTCAATAGATATCCTTTGTGCTTCTGAACTTTAAGAAAATATTTAAAATATTCATTGTCTTCCCTCTTCCCAAGGGATCCCCAAGTGCTTTACAAGCATAAATGCTGCTGAAATACAGTCATTGCTGGGGTGGGGAGCAGCAGCCAGCTGGCATGTATCAGTGACAACTGAGCACGTTATGCCAAAGACACTGTGGTAAGGCCCTGTGGTTGCTAAAAGTGCTGTGATATCACCAATACTCCGGGAAACGAACGGGAACATTGCTTCTAGTGTCTCTGCTGAAAGATTCTGATAGCATAAACTGATTGGTATGTAGCTTATCTAACCTATAAGAACAAATGGTCATATCAAGCTGGCAGAAGAAAATATGCCAGGTGCCAGGCACCACAGTATCCAAACCTGCACTTCACTCATTAAATAATACATTTCAGTTAAATCTGATTGCAGAGAGAAATGACTCAAGATTGCTGCATTTCTTGCTCCATGAAAAGCTTGGAGTCGTGGAAGTGTTTTGCCAGTCATGACAAGGAAGAGAAACCCTAGCCTACCTTGGTGAAGCCTAATCCTTTCTTTGAATTTTGTTTTTCTTTGTGATTTTATATCTATTGCTATAGGAAGAGACTTTTTTTTAAACGAACAAAACCTTGTTTTACTTCCTCATGTCTTTAACCAGATAAAAAGCTTTATCCTCTTCCACCTTTTTTTTTGCCAGGCAGAGTTGCCAAGTAGTCAAATTGCCTGATTCATAGCTACTTACTTTGGGTGATTGTTGCTTACATCAGTGGATGGTTATAGCCACAAATAGGCCTATTCACTCTGCATAAATGCTCTGCAGTGGGAGTACTGGACTTGGAATCTTGACTCTTTTGGTGAAAACAGATGAGATATTAAATCTTGGCTCCATTGAAGTACTGACTTCACTATGACCAGTATTCCCTCCAAGGACTTTCATCCTTATTCCTGGTAGCACGGCAAAGCATATGCAACTGAGCTGGATTGAATCCTGTCTCAGGCAGCTGCATTTGAATGAATGAGTAAGGAGCAGTGGCAGAATCTTTATTATTGCTGTTATTATGTGAGCAAGAAAGAACACAGCCTGACTCAATTCCCTAGTCACATTTGCAGAAATAGCAGTTTAAAAGAGTGGTATTTTTTAAACAAGGCTCTATCCTTGTAAGCTGAACAATTCAACACAGAACAGAGTAATCATGGAAGCTTTCAATACTACTTTTATTGTCAGTTTTCAGTTTGTAAGCTTACTTTAAAGTCCAGGTTGCTGAGATTTTTAGCAGACTTGGAGAAGACAGTTACAATTGCTAGAATGTTAATCTATTTGTCAGTGTGTCCCATGTATACATTTTCTTTCAACCCCTGAATCTTCCTGATTTTGGTAATTTTTGAAGTACAGTGAAAAAAAGAATGCTTTGGTATACGTAGAACAAATAATTTACTGATATTCTGGAGTTCACTGGTACTTATGAAATGTATACCTGGCTTGACCTTTGATATTTGGTTTCCAGTAAATCTCTAGGTTTCAGTCATTGAAAGAAGATCATCCTCTGCCTACTGTTCGAAATATATAAATCGTATCTGAAACTCACTGCTTTGCCTAAAAGAGTTTTCAAGTTTACTAGTGCCATTTGAAGAGGAAATTATCTTAGACATTGAGTAAATGCAAAATATTCATTTCTTACAGAGTGTTATTGTAATGGTTTCTACTGTGCCAGAGAGGGTTGTCCTGTATTATCAAAACAGGTATAAAATGGCATTTTGTATTACACGGTAGCAAAGCTTTCTAGTGATTGTGTTTGTGTCAGTTGTGTCAGTATCGGTTTCTTACTCATTGAAATCACCTGTAATTTGTAGATTGCAAAGAATGTGAAAAACATTATCAGGTGCTGCAGACTTTTTGACTACACCCGTGCAGGATGGATACAGAGGCACACACTAAGGAAAATTCTTGAGATCACCTGTTTTAGGATGAAGGACTCAGAATTTGAAAAGTAAGTAAAGAAACAGCCATGATTTTTCTGTGAGAGTAATAATAACAATAAATGATGAGGCCTTCGTGATCTTCCAAATGACAGTGGCTGGGGGCTGTTTGCAGCAGGCTAATTTGCTAGTTTATCTTCTGTACTCAAGTTGCAGCCTTCAGCCTTTCTCTGACTAAATGCATGCAAGAGTATGCAAGGATAAATATGCTGCTAACTCATTCCAAAAGGATGAGTCCTGCATCAGAATTCATGCCAATCATCTTGATTTTCAGGATGGTGGTTAAAATACTAGAGGGACATTGTGGGACTCCCCTTGCCTGCAGTCTCACAGAATAACGCTGGGGGTGGATGTTCTTGGCCTCAGACCAGAACAGAGTTGAGGAGACTGAATGGAAACGCTGGTGCTTACTCCACTCTGAAGGCTGAACAGAAAAGACAGTGAGAACCCTAGAGGCTCTTCCAGAGGAAGAAGTATTGAAGAGAGGAAAGGATTTCCTTAGTCTGCTTATAAGAGGTGTTAGGACAGCCTTTTGCTTGACTCCTTCAGTTTCTTTGGCTGACATAGGATATACATAAGACATTTTTGAAATATTATTTAACAGAACCAATGTATCAAGAGGATAAAGCATGTGTGCAGGACTTACCTACAGGAGTCAGGAACTCCTCCCTTTCACAGCTGATTTGAAATTGTTGGCTCCTGAATGAGAAAGCATCTTCCCACTCCTGCTGAGATCAGTGAGTGGAAAAAGCTGAGAGCCGTTGTCTCTCACTGGAAAAAAAGTTCCTGATAACCAGGTGACTAGTATAATCTTGCCTTTGAAAAAGGCAACAGCTCTGATCAGCTGTTCCATGCTTCTGCTGAATTCCTGCAGGTAGTTTGAATATGGCTGGGGTTTTGACCATGGGGCAGAACAACACTGTTGTTTGAAATAAAACAGTACCATGGCACACCTTCGCATCCTGTGCAGCTTGAGGCAGTGAGCAGGGAAATGTTGTATCGTGGGTACTATGATCTGCTTCCTCTCCCCTTAACATGGTTTTCATGTAAGTGATATGGTGAAATAGAAACTCAAAGACTGCCTCCAAGTAGGGTGTAGCCAGAAAGCAAGAAGCACCTTGATTCAGTGACTCAGTCATCTAGACCTGGCAGTTGGTTCACCAGGAGCCACAGAAGAAACGCTTAACCTTTCAGGGCTGTAGTTTGCGCAGCTGTGTAAGGAAAAAGTACTTGCTTACCTCGGAGGTATGATGTGAACCTTGATGAAAGTTTGTATAACGTTTGGAAACTAGATTGCTTTGCTCTTCAGTAGCACAGCAATGGCTCAATATTAATATTGGGCATCCATATGTGCTTCAGATACAATGGATTCAGTGCTCCTACTAGTTTGTACTGACAGAAGCTGTAGCAGAGCCTGTTCTGTCAGAGCAGGGACATGGGGACGGTAAGTAGCCGGAGCTTTGACTGCAGCAGGAGTTGCAGGAAGAAGGATGAAAGCATGGATCTTACCCCCCCAAGTGTGATGGGGTAGGAGAGCACATATCCAAAGGTACGTGGAATACTTCCTTAGTAGCTTTGCCAATGGGCTGCCGTGAAATTGTGCTTATAAGGCGCTATGATGGAAATGCTGAAATAGATCAAGTGATGACAACACCTGTGAACTGTTGCCAATGACGTGCAGGGAGATCAGCTACAAACTGCCTTAAACCAGCATGAATCTGATGTTACATGCTCTATTTCCAAAGAATGTTTAGTGTCTTATGATTTTGAATGAGTTTCTGTGGATTTTGGAGTCTATGAAATCCATCAGGAAATACTGCTGGAGATACTATTTGCTGGATAGGGACCTAATAGAAAATTAAACAAATTAGGATGATACTTTATTGCTTGAGGATTTTTGTTTGAATTTTTTATTTGGATTTTTTTTCATTGTGAGCAAATTCCAAAATAATTTTTGTCAGTTCATATTGCCTGGCTACACTATTACACTCTGAGTATTTTTTTCTGGTTAGGATACTTTCCAGAATTTGATATCAACAAAACCAATGAAATAATTTGGTCCAGGCAATTATAGAACAGAAGTAATACTCTTCTAAAGCAGGCAATCAAAAAACCAAAATGATGCTTTATTTGACAATAAACCTTGTGTTTGGCATTGCAATCTGAAAGGTAATAAATCTATAAAAATGTTACTGCATCTTGTAAGTGCTGAATAATAAAAAAGAACACAAATTTTTGTTTTGGGCGTTTAAAGCTTTAAAAGGATGAAGTTTTATCAGAAAAACTTCCGAAGCTTAACAAATAAAAGTAACGGTACCAAGTCACCTCTACGAAACAACAGAATATCAGAAATGATACAGAAATAAAATGTAACATTTATTTTGTTACTGATGGAATATCACGCAAATGACTTTTGAACAAGCCTATTAAATTTGAGACTGTTTAAATATACCTAAATTACACTTGAATTTCTCGCTATGGATGAACTTTAAAGCAAATGAAAATGTATTCCCCTCTCAAAGTACAAGTTGCAAGATAATTAATGTTAGTAATATGTTTAAGGAAGTATATTAATGCCCTAGTCAAAGCGATAAAAAGCTTTTCTTTTTAAAGTGTGGTTGAAATCACGGGTCAAATTCACTTCTGTGCTGGTAATTTTGCACTGATGTGATTAAATCTCAAGGACAGCATAAAACACATGAGTGTACACAGCTCCTCTGTCTGTACAGTTATTAATGTACAAAAACTATACATCCTGTAATCATCAGGCCCTAAAAGAACGTTGTCCAAGCAGTGACTTAGGTCATATTGACTGGCTTTGTCTGTATCATAGGTGGTTGGGGAGGCATGGGCAACCCAAGAAATTCGAATCTAAATGTCCTCTGCTGTTTCAAGTATATCCATGTCTCCTTCTGAATTCCTGTTAAATTGGGCAAGCACAATACATTATTTTTTGCATATTGGGAACCTTATTGAGTCACTTGACTGCTCTAGCAATCTGTAGGCAGTAGCGATAATGGCTGAGAAAATGGAAAAATCCAAAGTGAACAGCAAAAAATGTAACCAGAACAGGTCTCCCACAGAATATTTAGGTTTTCCAAATCACCATCCATAAATTCTTTGACAAAATTCAATAACCCCTGGGCTGCTTAGGTGTTTTTTAACATGTCAAAGGCTGATAAGCAGGCAGGCAAAGTAAATGATAAAAGTCTTTTTAGATGTTCATATGTATCTAGCCCTCTTTTTTCCCACTCAGCTTCCCTCCTTGGGCAAAAGATTGGACTGTCGTATTCCAAACCCAGCAGCCTAAAATGTTGGTTTCGTCAGAAATAATTTTTTTTTGTTGTTTTTGTGGTTCCTGGTGAGGTTTCTGTATATCTAAAGAGCCTCTACTTCAAAGCTGTGCGTCCAGTGACGTTTTAGGCATTGGATGCTCAACTAGCTGCTAGACCATGCTTCTTTGATATGATTGTCTGTCACATTTCTCTGGACAGTGTATCTTCCAGAGCATGGACCTGTGGCTGCGACTTTTAGAGAGAATGCATCTTATTTGATAGGGCTTGGGCTCCTGCTGTTCTTCAGTCTTCTAGTTTTGAATTATAGTAGAATATAATCCACTTAAAAATGCTTCTTTCTGTGTCCATCTAGAAAAAAAACCCCAACCAATATTGTTCTTTGGACCTAGTTATGCTACCACTTTTCTTACTGCTGACCCTTCACAGTGTGGTCTCCTGAATTTATTTCTGCTTTTGGACTTTGCAGCTGTTTCTGATTCAAGCCAGAGCCTGCTGAGTATTTGCCTTGGATTGATTAACAAATATATTTTTCCCATAATCCGGTTATGGTTGTTCTGGGACACAGTGTCAAGTCTCTCAATTAACTTTAATGGACTTTGGACCAGTCCTGTAATTACTAAGAGGGCTTTTTCTGTTGAGATCCTGACATAAGGCACTGCCCATACATATCTTTGGGACTGGGGACACTTACTATGTAGTCAGGGGAAAATATTCATTTTCAGAGATGTGTTTTGGATCCATGAACTCTGCCAGAGAGCCCTGTTTGTGCTCACAGCATTTCTTTCACATAGGCCAGCCCAACTCCAGAGAGACAGCAATTGTATTACCTCACCAAAAGGATATTAAAAATTTTCTGAAAAAAACCCCTAGAAGTCTAACAGATCTAAAGCCCAGTCTCTGCTAGGAAGAAGTAAACCCTTTTTGAATGGCTCTCCCATCAAAAGATTTACTTGATTATGTGAGAATTATAACTCTCCTTAAGACCAGATCTCAGGACTGCAACTTTTAGGCTTTCACAGTTGGGCAGTCTTGATCATCTAGTCCTAATGATCAGGAAAGTTATTCAGGTTTCATACCAGGGCTACATTGTCCAGTTTTGTGGGGAAAACAACCCATTAAATATATATATACACCTATTTCCGTAACATCCCAATGATATCCTGAATTCATTGCAGCCAGGCAATACAAACCTTCACTGTTAGATAAATGACTGAAAACATAGAAACAAAAGCCATCTGACTTCCTCCTATACCTATATGTGGTAACTAGATTTAATTTAAAAATCAGAGAAAGAAAAGGGATATGGCAGCAATTTTTAAATATTGAACTTAAAAGCTTTTTCTTAAAAGTCACATGCTCAAGACGAAGCTGTCCCTAGGCACCTTTAATGTACTCATGTGGCAGTTATGCAGCACATAACTCAAGGTTATTTTCTTTGGCAGCAATTTCAGAGCAAATCTGTGTAAAGAATGATTTCTTTCCCTTGAACAATGGGCTGGATTCATAAAAAGTATAATGGGTACATTTGTTTGTTTTTCAATTTTAACAATTAGGAGGTATTTGTATGTATGTGTAAGAACAGAAAATAGGAAAATAATGAATAGTTGTACTTATAATTAGCATATTTTGATACTTGAGAAATAAGAAGCCATTCCTATGCTTATTAAATGTGTAGTGTCAGCTTCAATTTATTGAAAATTACTAACTAAAAAAAAATTTCAGACGAAATGTTGCTTAAGGAATATATACTGAAATTAAAAGTAAAGCCAGACTTTAAAGTATATAGAACAATACTCAGCTTTCTTGTGCTTAGAATCATAGAATAGTTTGGGATGGAAGGGACCTTTAAAGGTCATCTAGTCCAACCCCCCTGCAGTGAGCAGGGACATCTTCAACTAGATCGGGTTGCTCAGAGCCCTGTCCAACCTGACCTTGAAAGTTTGCAGGGATGAGGCATCTAGCACTTCTCTGGGCAAACTGTTCCAGTGTTTCACCACGCTCATTGTAAAAAATTTCTTTCTTGTCTGTAGTCTGAATCTACCCTCTCTTAGTTTAAAACCATTACCCCTTGTCCTGTTGATACAGGCCCTGTTAAAAGTTTTTCCCCATCTTTCTTATAGGATCCTTAAGATCTCATAAGCTTGTTGGTGTAACATGGTGTCAGCATGGACATATGTGCTAGTCTTCTAGCTTTTAGGCAAAACTTGTGCAAAGATCTTCCATTGTGGATCTGGGCAGTCCATCTATATTCATGGCACTGATTCCAGAATATTATGGCTGCACAGGACTGGATGCTTCAGCCCAACAGAACCAAAACTAGTGGTAAAGTTAACATAGTTGGGATGCGTGTGCTCTGAAAGACTGTGTGTTTGCTAGAACAGGGCTTTAGACACAGTCTGATCCAGTGACCCTTGAATGTAATGAACATATTTTCATTGTTTTCAACTGGTTTCCATCCAGTCCTTCCATCTTGGGTGCAGAGTAGAAATTGATCAAATTTAAGCAGGTATAGAACATAAGCAGGTACTGGAATATTTTTGTCAGATGATAATCTATGAATTGGTTTAGGTTATGCAAATAGGGAAATAAATAGGCAAGTCATAGAAATAAATAGGGATATCATTTAATGACAAGAAGAACAAGGCAATCCAGAGGCTAACTTAAAATACCCGAGTCTTGTTTTACTTTCTGGTGAGTGAAAAGATATTAGCATATCCAGACCGCAGGCAATTGAGGGTCATAATTTAGGATTTCTGAATCACCCTGTGGAAGTACTTGTTTTCCTCTTTCCTTCTATAGAGGAAGATGGGAGAGAGCAGCCAGTGTTTAAAGCTAGTCTTTGGGAAGACATTCCTTGGTCAATAAAATTTATGAAAGCAAACTAATAATTGTGATGATTAGGACCAATAATTTGGTTTTTAAAGCATATTAACATAGATCAATCAAGAATTATGCTATGCCACTACTATGCTACAAACTATAGTTTGTGTTCTCTTCATATACCCGGATGAAGGCAATACCGAGTCCCCTATTGATTTTTATCATGTAAACAGGCTCTGGCCCCATTTTAATGGCTGCTGCAAAGACTGACTCAATTTCCATTCGTTACATATCCAGATTGTATCCTGCCCCTTCTGTAAGGGTGTGTTAACAGCGTGCAATGCATGATGGTGATACTTGCCTATTCGTGGGGATCCTGTGTAAGAAGCTTGAGTATAAAGGATAGTGGGCAAAAGTGCAATTTTGAGCCAGTAATTAGTTCTATATTTCCATTTGTTTATTAAATGGGATTGACTTTCCAGCCTTGATGTATGCAGATCCGTAATAAGCCATTTTGTTCAAAACAGCAGAAATTGCCTGAGAGTAACAGCAGAAAGTTCCTAGGGGAAGGAATGCAACTGTTTTCATGCAACAGAAAACAAACTGCCCCACGGGTTGCTGAAAACTGTCACTAATGTAGGATAATGACAGAAGAGTGTTCCTGTTCTGTAGTAAGGCCATGGTAATTTATGTATGTACCTGTGTTTTTGTTGTAGGTTGGGGGGTTTTGGTAGATCAAAAACTGAGCTGTAAACCAGGGAGAGTTTCAGACACTCCTAAAATGTATCATTCCTGATGCTGAGATTTACTATTAACCTGATCTTTCTTATGGCATCTTTGTAAAATAGAGCTGTCAATTCCCAAATAATCCAATCACACAAATGTTTTTGAAGTATTCCTTTTATTTTGAACATATGCATGAGAAGTTTGTTCAAAGTGGAACTGAATCTATCCATTTTATTATATATGTTTCTAGTACACTTCACATGTGTCAGGGTACTGTCTGTACATTCGTTCTGTATTTCCATATGTACAACTCACAGCTAACATAATCTTAATCCCTTTAAAATTTCCTTGAAAATAAATTTACAGATAATCCTCACCCTCTAGTAAGACACAAAGAGAAGGCTTAAGGGGAAATAGGATGTGGGGGAATTGCTGGGAAAAAGAAGTGAGATCCTCCATGAATTATGCATATACCCATGGCTTACATGCATCAAAAATAGGTGTGTGTTTATTGTGATAACCAGGATAGTCCCATGGGTTGGGCTGGATTAGAATTCAATTTTTACAAATGGGAAACTGAGGCAAGAGGCAAGTCAATGACTTCCCAAGTTTATGAAGTAAATTTAGCATTGTGATAGGGAATTCCTGTCTTTCAGTACCCCACAAAAGTGACAGAATTATGATGATCTTAACAGCTAATCATTGCTTCACGTTTTGCCATATAACCCACAGAACAGAGAGAAAACCAGGGTATGTTACAGTGCAGCGCTCTTTTCTTGTCCCAAACAGAATTTGCGAAATGGCTAACCAGGTTCTCTTCTCTTTATCACCTAAAGGTCCCACAAATTGCAAGTGGAATTTGTTCCCCAGCCCCCATGTTGATGCAAGTGCTGGGTTATAAATGAGTGGTATTTGTCTTTGTTTTATAAAATCTTGGCTTCTACTATGAGGCTCTCCGAAAGGGTTAATATCCCAAAGATATCTGGAAAAAGTACTGAGCAGAAATAGGACTTTTATTTTCATATATTGTCAAAGTCAAAACCAGAACACAGCTTCGCATCAGGTGCTCTCATTCTCAGGATGTTGGAAAATTGTGCAAAAAAAAAAAAGCCGCAATCACGATTCAAGGGATGGTGTGGATGCTTTAGAGCTTAATGTTAACAGACAATCTGTTTAGCCTTTGAAAAAGGAGTTTAAGAGGTGACGACATCATATGGTGTGGTATCTTGACTAGATAGACACATTCAAATGAAAAAATAAGTCAATCAAATCTTCTGTTATTTGTCCTTGGAACAAATTCATTGGGACTAACTAGATGCATTTTTGTCAGACATGTTTTAGTCAAACACAAGTTTTAATGTATTTAGAGACTATTTATGGGGCTAAATGCAAAGGAATCTGAGAGAAACTTGGTTGCCTGTGATACACAAGATGTTCTAATGGTACCATTTTAGCTCTAGACTTTATGGACCCTCTTTATGCAACAGAATTTTAATTTTAAAAACTACATCTCTCTAGGTTTCATTATTAGGAAAATAAAACATGAGCATGAGTCACAGCAGTGTTTTCTGAAGGGGATTGGAGATAAATCTCACAGTAACTTGTGATAAACTGGTCCTAGATTCTCTAACAAACTCATTCTGAAAGGTGAAAACTGCTCATTTTTTCCAAGCATTTGGATACTATCTGAGGATAGCAAGTGTAAACAGTATTAACAACTTCACTGACAATCAGGGGAAATATCTAGAAAATAAAAGCTTGCAATCAAAGATGAATTTTGAAGCTGTGGAAGTTAATACCATGTGGAAATGTGTTCTAATTGCAAAGTGAGGTTCCCATTTAATCCAAATGAAGCTGCTGCAAATTTTCCAGCTTGCTATAAAATCCAGACAATTTGCTACAGAGTCTAGTGTGACTTACCATAAGTTACACTGGAATTTGTTTAAGAATATCATAATATTCTTATATTATTAGAAGAGTAATGTCCTTGTGTGGATACATTAAAATTCATGTTCATGTAGATGGCCAAGAAAATGGCATCATATGTAGGATTTGAATGATATTATGCAGACAACTCGTATACTATAGACAATCTTGGGCAGAGGAAAGACACCAGAGAAAAATGTAGTGGGAAGGTAGAAAAAAGTGATTCACTGCTTATTTGCTTTTCACAATCTTTTACATATTGTGTTTCTAAAGCTTTCATAAATTTCCTATTTCTTCAGTTCACTACAAATATGATCTAGAATAGCTGTGTTCTCTAAAAAATAGCTCTTTTTCTCTAGGCTGTGGAACCGTTACTGTGTTAGAGACTCTGATGTGATTGATTATAAAGAATTTCTGAAGAATTTTGGCATAAGTACAGATACAGTTACAGAAAAAAGCACAGAAAATGAAGTTCCAGGTATGTGCTCAGAAAAGGATTGGAAACTTGAGTACTTCTCTTTCCAATTATATAAATAGAAGTATTTCTGTTGGCCTTGATGGATCTGATCTGCAATTTTGTAGGACCTTGACAGCCTCTGATTCTCAGCAGATACAACTAGGACAAGAGGAAAAGAAAGGCAACTTCCTTTGGCCTGGGAAATTATACCAACTGTGTGTGAAAACTGCTTTTAAAATCAAAAGGTGACACATTACATGGGCCAAAAAATAAAATCACCATTACAAGCTCATACACCACAGATAAAGAATTTGTTACAGCAACTTGGAATCTTGTAGCACTTGGGAACCTCAGTTTTCACCCAATATTCAATTGTACCAAGCTTTGCAGTTAATCTTCATAACAAAGAACTTACAGTCTAAGACAGTGACAACATGGTGAACTTGGAGGAGGTTGCGGAGGTTAAGGTGACAGTAAGACATTTTTTGTCAGCATGACAGTGGTTTCAAGCATAATTTATTGGAGTGCTGGGGCTGTCTTTGTAGGCACCAACTCAAAGAAGGATATTAAGAAGTGTTGATGGTCAGTAATTAAGTCAGTTTGTCAATGTATATGGGCAGGTCCTCTCAAACACAAGGGTCAGCATAAGAGTAGATACAAAATATATTTGCTTGAAATTGCAAGAACCAGACAGTCCAAGGTGGCACGAGGGGTTGTTCCTGACTGAAAGGTGATTGGCGTGGAGGTTGCAGGCCATGGACACCCTTAAAATGAAGTCATTAGCTTATGTTTGTCGTCTAGGGAAGAAAGAGTCATTGATAGGAGCAGGATACAGCTGTTTTCCTCAAAGGCAGAAAAAGCATGTTTCAGTAATTCAGTTGTTGGATGAACAGAGGCAGTGAAGAGATTTAGCCCTGTATGTGGATGAAAAAAGTTGTGTTTCAGAGGTTATATAGCAAAAATCTGCCAGATTTACCTGTAATGTGAATGTGAGGATCTATGGAGATATGAGTTTAAGAAGGTACTCAAGTCAAGATAGTGAGAAAGGCCCTTCCAGCACATTTAAAAAGAATGTATATCTATTTGCATATCTTGAATTTAATTTAGTGTTTTTAATGAGATATTTTCTCCATCACACATGTACACACATGATATTTTGTCAGTATGATTTTTCATGAGTGTAAGGCTAACTGCTAATTATTTTTTCATTTATTTTTCTTTGAAAAGAAGCATTTAAACTCACCTTTGCTGAAGAAAGCTAGCAAAGACTTACCTGTACTTTGCAGGCTAAAGAGCATTAGCTTCAAACATCATCTCTTTCATTTCTATTACTCAAAATTTAGCACTTCATGAAGAGAATTATAGTAGACTAAAAAAATCTATCCTGGTCTAGAAAAGAGGCAGCAGTCCATAAGTCTGAATTATGATTATCCTCTTCCTGACTAAAAGTCTTCCTTGGGTCGTAGGAATTATTTCTGAACCGATTTTGAATAGATGGCCTGATGTTCAAAGGCTTTGCACATCAACAGTTCGCACTGGCTTCAGTAGGATCAGAAGAAGCCAAACTCTATCTAAATCATGAAATCAGAATATCTGATATTTTAATAATACTTTTTCTTCTCACCATTTTACATAACCATGGTGTGACTATATGGAAGTTTGTAAGTTTGTGCAGTACTACCAAAGATTGTTTTGAAACCATTACTAGAAGTAAATGACTACCAAAACCAGAGTTGTTTTTTTTTTCTCGTGTGGGGTACTGAAATCATGGAGAAATAATCTTATGATTCATTGAGAAGAGCTGTTTGACTTAGAGTAACTGGAAGCTCTTCCAAGGACTGTGGGAGCTAAGATGGGACAGTAAGATGTGAGTATGCGAAGGAAATGGAAAAGAAAAGAGCGTTTTCAAGGTCAATAGGCATGTTTATTACCAAAGGACTATAAGAACACTGTCTTCCATTTCCTGAAAATGTATTTTTGGTAAATATATATGGAAACATACTGACAAAGAGAGGGAGCTAGTTTCCAGTAGTACTTTCTGATATTAAATATAATAAAGTTACCTGTTAAGATTCTAAATTATGTGTATTACGGTTTAAAAGAAATATGAAATTAAAAACTACTACAACAAATGCACACATTAGCATAAGTTTGAACTGCTGATCAAGTTTGAAATACAAGAAAACACCAGAAAGTTTTGTTTCAGATTCAGTTTAATCTGTTTGTGCATAAAGATTTATCCAGTTAAAAAAACAGTCTGCAAGAGTTTTAGATGGCTTTATTTCTTTGAAGCTGATAAAGCTGTGGACTTTGCTAAATCAGTTTTCTTAACAGCACTAATCTGCCAGAAAATAAAAGAGGAGGAACAGAAGCAGAAAAAACTTTCTGTACAGTCTTCACCAGCTGAGTGTGCTGTGACAGAATGCAGTCTGGATAGCACTGAAAGGGCATTTAAAGAAAAGGTAAGGGAGTGTCATTAATACTTTGTAATACTTTGACAAGTGGAGAAGCTGAGCCAGGCATCAGTGGAAAAGAAAATTGCCAAGCTTTGAGGCCAGTTGATTATATCAACTTCTTTTATGAACAAATTCTATGCACAGGGTTTCATGTCTACTTTTAAAGCCAGTTAGCAGAAGCAGCAGTTCTGTTTTAGTTTGTGTATTCCAGTCTTGCTTATTAGATTCACAGCATTAAAAACTTACGTATTAGAACTCCAGATTCCTTCGGCTAAAACAAAATGAGAGTGCATTGAAGCTTGATGGCTAAGGTGTTTCATAACGTGAATTGCTAGATCACTCTGTCAGATCAAAGTAAGTGATGACTTACACTGAATAATGACTAGTTATCATTGTCTGATAATTATTTTCTGACCTGCATGAAATAAAGTATTAGTGCATAGGTGCTACTGCAGAAACAATTTTTTTCTATGTGGCGGCAAGCTTAGAGACTAGAGCTGGAACAGACATGGCAAATGATCTCACCCTATGCCCTTAGATATGATCTTAACTGAAAAGGGTTGAGGAGTGTGACGGTGGAACATAACTGTGTTCCACATTCTTTATGGGAAGGTGAAAAACCCCAAAATTTTCCAGTACTCACTCGTGTGCTTTCATGTAATGAAAATTCTGCTCCCTAAGAGGAGCTGATACCGTGCATCAAGACTACATATCCTACTACAGATTCGATTACATATACCTGTGATTTCTCAGCCTTGAAAAGACAGGAGAAGAGGGACAAACAAGGCTACAGGGACATTCAACACCTTGGCCCTTTTTCATCTTGTATATCTTTGATATGGAGGTCAAGGCCTGGTTTGGAAGCACAGTACATCTCACCTTACAAGTCTTCCCAGTCCTTGATGTTTATTTTGGGCTTTGTAAAGTCTCTCTATACATTATCTTTACACTGTGATTTTGGCAGTTTTGAATGAACAATAATCAGCTTAGAAGCAGATGGGGTACTTGTCAAAAAATGGCAGGGGGAGAAAAGCCTCAGGGATGCTTGCAGTATTCAACAACCCAGTGTGAGCTAACATTTCGGAAAAACAAACTAGTCTTCCTATTGTTTCATGAGCCTTATCAAAATCTGCAGTAAGACAACTTTCAGGCATTTTACAAGTCCCATTAGCAAAACCATATCCACATAGCTCCTTTGCAACAGCCCCTGGATTAAAAAAATAACCAAAGAAATGTGTGATACATTTTTACAACAGCTATATTAACTATTCCATGTCTTCTGACATTTTCCAGTATTCGTTGTGCTAATGACCCATTTTAATAAAGGGAACTTTGATACCAGATTATGGCATGGATGGTTTTAAAGTTATGTTAAGACAGGTGTTATGAAGCAGGCTGATCTACCAAGTATTTTTAGCTCAGAATTTTGAGGCAGAGTTATTATTTGAGAAACTTGTCTGACTTGTCATTTGAGAGTGTGTGGTTGGGAATACTGTTCTGTAGTGAGCTTATTAATTAAACATCTGACGGTCAGAGCATGCCAGGGTAACCTATTTGATCAGTTCACAGAGAAGAATGTTTGAAAAAGTCTTGTAAAAAATGCATTATTGTTTTAAAAGCTTCATGAGCTTGATTTTTCTGAACAAAACACTATAAATTGTATTCATTACAGCTGTGTTCAGCCCATCAGGACATTGAAAAAGCCTTTAGAGCAATTGATGTCAGTCGGAGTGGATTTGTGTCTTTGGATTACTTGAAGTCAGTCATAAATGCCTTTATATTTCCTTTGCCAAATGAAACTTTTCAAGAGCTAATGAATAGGTAAGAATCATATTATTTTCTTAGGGGACATTTTTTAGAGCTGCTGCCTTATAACTTTATTATTGTTTTTTGTGACTACCATCATTAATTCATCTTACTTGTGCCTGTGTTGTAGTATGTATGGCCCAGTGTGTAAAAGCTGATATAGCTGGGTACAAAACCAAGTTTTTTGCAGTAGGGTGTATATGTTTAATGGAGTAGAAGCTTTAAGTTACTGCCTTCTTACTTCTATTTGCTCACAAATTTGTTTTTAATTTCTGAAAGGGTTCATTACTCTCCTGCGTTCAGAAGACTAGTGATGTGGGATGGTGTGAGTTTGCTGGAAGTGCAGCTTCACAACTGTTAGCACCGTATTCACATGGTGACAGTGCAAGTCTACAAGCCTCTCCTTTTTAAATATCTTGGTGTGGCAAGGAAGAGAAAGGAAAAAGTGAAGCTAAATGAATGAATGAACTAATCCTGAAAGGTTTCACTCTGCACTGCTCACTGAAAAAGATGACTGAAGGGACACTTCTGTGCTGCATAATAAAGCAATTTCATACCCGGAAATTTGAATTTAAACTGAAATGAGGCAAAAATCTTTTGAACTTAGGTTTTCACATTGTAAATATTTTTATTAAAACTGCTGTGAAGGCTGAGAAACCATGGCAACTACTGGATTCAAGTCAATATACTATTTTGCTTTAACCAGGCATCTCTGTAGTATTATGACCAAAACTCAAATCATCTTGTTGTCAGTATAATGTACAGAAGATAAATGGATAGAAAACATTTTCCAGCCCAACCTCAAGGATCTCAGCAGGCAGAGTTTAGGCCACAGGACATTTTCCAAAACACGATTTCCTGGACATGATCGTTTCAGCATATGCTGACTAGCTTCCTAAACTTATATTTCCCTTTTAAAGCCAAAATATCATAGGAATGGATGTTTTTGGTTAAATCTATACCAGGATCTCTTATGATTAATATTTTGTACTCAGAAACCAACAACTGTGAGAAGAAAATTGCCAGAATATACTTTATACTTGTTGGCAACAGTGCCAAGGGCATATGGCCAGTTAGAGATAGGAAGAACAACTTAACTCTTACAACAATAGGACAAGGCACACAAATCATACAGTGTGAGGAGGTCAGTAATCAAATCGTGCATTACTGCTTAATGATTCCACAATTTATAGTTTACCTATTTAAATTGTTGGAAGAACAGAACCATCCATGTAAATAATCAGTTGAGCTATTTTTTTTCCTTATATGCACTAGCTAGCTGTAAAGAGCTCAGTACAGATATACGTTTTACAGCAGCAGGTGCTGTATGAGAGTGTCATCTGCAGTAACCATATTGCTTTGTGCATTCAACAGATAAATCTGATTTGCTTCTAGTCATTCACAGTGTGATATAACAATGATCAACTATTACTTTGTCAAAAAATTGCTGTTATAGTTTTTTTTGCAATTCATGTCACTTGCTAGTTTAAATCTTAAAGTAAGTCTTGCTCTTAAGAGAAGTTGCATAATGGAAAGATTTCTGCATGTATTCTTCCACTGGAGCTTTCTCTAGCATTTGAAAAATATAGTGACATTTTAATGATGCTGTAAACACAAATGTTCAAGCCTATGTATGTCATATCTCTTAGGTGATATTTCTCAGATAAAGTAGTTCAAAAGCTTCACCAGGTGAATTCAACAACAGCAAAAGTTCCTCATATTAATCTCATTCTAATAATGAAGTTAACTTAATTGTAGCTGGTAATAAATGTAATAGTAATTGATGGGCAAAGGACATGATTTCAAGGTTTTTAAGATTCTATTTAAATAATATGACATGAGATGTGCCAGGGAGCTGTTTATAAGAAATAATACACAACAGCATTTTATGATTATTTGAGGTATTTACATCTCATGGACTCCTGATATAAAATTCAGGGTCCATTTAAGGTGATGCAATTTGCCTTAGATTTAAGCTAGGATTTCATCCTTGACTGGTTTAGGACCGGATTACCCACACACTTATCTCTCAGTATATGTCCCTACTGCAGCAAGATCAAATACATCAGAGGCAGATCACTGAGGTGTACCTCATTCAGATGAGTCCTGAATTCCAGCACCTCTGCTTTTGAAAATGCTTTCACCTAGAAACAAAACATCATGAACTTGAAGTTATATAAAGAGTTGCATAAACAGAAGGAATTAGTTTCACGGTATTTCAGCATTTCCATGTGAGAAATATTTTGGTTATGTTTTGGGGCTTTGCTGTGGATAGTATAACTTCAGAGGTTGAGGGATGTGAATGAAGGGATTTGACGGCTGGGAGTAAATCATACATGACCAGTATAGCTTTGCCAACAGAGAACTTAAACTCTTTTCTGGTAGCTGCCAGGATTTCTAATTGATGACTTTTATTTTTGGTATGAGGTAAATCATTGCACTTAGTTGGTCAGGACTTTGGTGAACATAATATCTGTTAAAAACTCAAGGACAGTTTTCAGCAGCAGAGCTAGTTTTAAACTTTTTGCGTTACCCTTACGCTTCATTTCTTCAATTTATGATTCATATAAAAGTATCAGATGCTAAGCCAATGATGGTTAAAAATTATTCAATGGGTAGTATTTTGTAAAGGATTGCTATGAGATGATAAATAGCATGGTTTTACCAGGTATCCATGTTGTTACAGCTCTAACCAGTCAATTATTCTGGAAGCATACTTTTTTGTACTTGGACATAACCATAAGCATACTTCCAAAAAGCCATGCAGAATTTATTTTTACTACTTTAATAACTTATCTGTCCTACGATAGTAGATAAAATGCTGGATTACCTCTCTACAAAAGATGTGCATTTTTTCTGGCCCTATGGTGAAACGATCTTTCTATGCCTCAGTTATTCTACCTATGCATCTAAATATTGTACTTATTGCCCTTCTAGCACAGCTTGAAATCTGAGGGCCTACTTAATAACCTATAAAGAGAGATTGCTTTGAAATTAAAAGAATACTCTTTCCTCAGATTTTATTCCCACTGATTTGGCTTTGTCTAAATAGGCCTTTCTTCAGTTTGATCCATGAAACTTAATGCTGGGGAGTTCCTCCGCCCCCTGGCCCCCCTGAGGGCCTGATTCATCCCTTTCCATGATAAAACCTGAAAAAGAAAAGTGCTGTGTTGGCCAGCCACAGGCAGAACTGGAAGAGCTCCACAACCCATTACCCATCTGCAGAACGAGGGAAAACCACTGCACCTTGTGGACTGATCAATGGCACTACAAATCGTAGCTAGTAATGCCAGACCTTCTCACATCCGTGTTAGTATTTCTTCCCAAGTTCCCTTCAGCTCCCAGGATTTTGGCAGTTGTCCCTGCTGAAGTCTGAGAGGCGATTGTAGGGCTTCTGAGCAAGGAGGTGGAAGTGAAGAGGCCTGTTGCTCTGATTGACGCAGCTTTGGCTGGTTGCTCATTTTCAGTGTAGAATTGCTCTCTAGAGTGTGATTTGAGTGATTTAGTAGACCATAGACATTTGAGTGTGAAGAGATCTCAGTTGGGGGCTCAAAATAACAGTTGTTATCTTGGCCTTAATTTCAAAGATCATCTGTTATTTCATACTGTTTGTTTCATATTCATTTATCCAAGACAATAATCAGATATGAAATATCTATTCTTCCCACAGCTTTTTTTAATAACCCATCCTTCAATAGTGTTGTTGGCAAAGCCCTTCCCTGCAGGGAATGAAATGGCTCCCCTGGTGAAATCTGAATGCCAGCCCTGCCTCTGTCTTCATTTACCTTGAGTCTTTGGTGCTTGGCCTTCCTAGCCCCTCTTCTGGGCTCTGGTGCAATTGTGCTGCTTGAGCAGTGAGAGATGCTCAGCCCTTGAGCCACTGAGCTGCGGTGTAACTCACAGGCGGGACCACTGTAGAAAGTCAGGTTCCCTCCCCTCCTGTTAAATAGCCCGTGCTGTCAGGTTGCGGTCGACCAAAGCCTGAATGCTGTGGTTCTTCTAACTTTCAGTTTTTAGCTTTGTTGGCTGAGCTTAAGAAACTGCTGTGTGGTCCAAAAATTGGAGTATTTTTGTAAAAGGTCCAGGAAGTCTTGCATACCTTTGACTACATTTGATTATTTTTCAGTTTTGTCCTATGCATCCTGGATTAGCAAATGCTCTAAACACCATCTGCCACCATTTTAAGGAGTGTTAGGAGTTTTAAAAGCTTTTCTGAGATAGCTAGAGTAACAAGTCAGCACGTTTCTGATAATACGTGAAGGATGTAATTGCCTACAAATCACCGTCTGAAGTAGGAGTGCATTTAGCCATGCTCATTGGAGTTTTCTGCAGTACCATTGAAAGTGAATAGGAGATATGTCAATGGTCGGGGGGATGGGGCGTGGGGGTCATGGGACCAGGTCCTTATTGATTTTGAAGTAATTATTCATGGAATATGATACTAGTTAACGTTCCAGGATTTTTAACATAGTTTAACTCTTCCAGTACTTTTGAAGTTTTCAAATTTGAACACAACGAACATCATAACATTTAAAAAGACAACATAATACTCGCCTTAGTTTCTCTACTGTTACGTGTAATAATGATAAGGGATGCATTAAATACTATCTCATTCTAGACATCAGTAATGTGAGCATCTCCGCCTGAACTGCTCCTCCTAGACTCCATTTTATAGTCACTGGAGGGAAACAATGGACAGGATTCATCTACCCAGTTTTAGATGTCTACTTTAGGATGAGATGAATCCGGTCATGAAAGTGCCTGTTTCTCCCCAATGACTATAAAAGGAAACTTAGAGTGACTCACTCAGGTACAGGCATGTGCATTTGGCTACATGAATTCTCGCTTGGGGTTTAGTTCTTCCACGGCTAGACATTTGGAATTAAGAAAGTAAGTTGGCTCAGTTTACATATTTAGTAACAAAGAAAAGCTATGCAAACTTATTCTAATTATGAATGTTGCATGCATTGATATTATAATGATGATGTGATGTTCTAATTCAAAATTTTTCTTGGAAGGTAGAGTGTTTTCATAAGAAAACCTTTTAAAACTGTTTTCTTTTTTAAAAATCAGATTTGGACTGAAAGCCACAGGTAAAATTGCTTGGCAACAATTTTTAGAAAAATTCCAGGATCCTGGGAGCACCTTTGAAAACAAGCAGACAATTCCTTTGAGAAAAAAACATAAGTAGGAAGTTCCTTTTTTATGTAAGGAGTAACCTGTGGTATGCTTATTTATTGAAAACGAGAAGTGTATCCACTCGATGGTCACACTTGATTTAATTCAGTTAAAAAATCTTTAGGCAATGCTTTCTCTAAGTGCACTCGTATTTTGAACACTATAAACCCCTGAGTCTTCGTGAAGTGATTTATTCTTCCTGCTCTGAGGAGAACATAGTGAGCGAAAGAGGGTGAGATGTGAAAGCATTGCAAAGACCTCTGCTTTTTTTCCTCTTGCAGAGTAAATCCACCTAGAGGAGATGAAGCTTTTTCCAGTGAGCCTGTTCTTCAGAAGCTGCACAGATACATCCAAGATGCTTATCCTTCTTTAAAGCAGGAATTCCTTATGCTTGATGAAGTAAGAGCAATTATTCTTAGGTGTTGTTTAGGTTAATTATTCTTACAGCTAAACATTTGTGTCTCACATCTGCTTCAAAGTAATTGGGTTGTCAGTCTTTGTTTTCTGTTACAGCAGCATGCAGAGTCTGTTTTTCAAGTTTCTTTAACATAGGTATGTGCAACTGGGGACGAAATAATTTGTAACAACCTCTCTGATAAACAAAAATTATTGACCTCCTACAACTTCACTGGAAGTCATGTTGGCCAGTTCTTTAATCATCCCTGTGGCTGCCTTTGAACTCCTGCTAGTTTTTCTGTGTATTTCGTGAAATGTTATGACAGAAATGAGAATTGGTGCTTTCATAGAAGTTGCACTAGCACCAGAAAAATAAATAATATAACTTCTCAGATACTGCTAAGTGCTCCCTTGTTTCTACATCCAATGATTGCCTTGAGTCACCTGTGCCTAACATTGTACTGGCAATTTATTTACACTTTGGTTATACATTATGACCTGCAAATCTTTAAGAGTAACTGCTTCTTATAATTAAGATTACTCTTCTTTTCTGGCATATTTTCTCCATTTCTCATTGTAGAGCCTTATTAGAAACCTTATTGTTTGGTTGTGCTTATTCTTCCCAGTCATGCTGTGTCAGTGGTTTGTTCTTTTCATCATTTTATCATTCCATTTGTCTTTCAGTTATCTACGGTCATTTGAGATTTTAAAGTTCTAGGTGTTTTTCAGGTTATTTGTACATGGGTGTACGTATATATGTGTATAAGTATATATAGAGAGAGAGAGAGCAAGCAAGCTGTATTTACTCTGTTTATATACACTCACACATACAGAGACATGTGTATATGTACGTGTCTGCATAAATAAGATGTATAGCACAGGGCTAAAAACCAGCCCCTGGAAGACCTCATTAGAAACAGACATACTTATCTACACTTCCATTTGAAGGTTTCCGTTATCTGGTTCTCTTATCTATCACATGTGCTTGGTATCTGCCGTCTGCATCCGTAGTGTTCTCATTCCTTACTGAAAATGGCATGCCTTCGCACGTAAGTATACCATTGCCTCGGGCAGCAGACTGCCCCAGGAAGTGGCACAGGCAGGGCTCCAATGCCCGTTTGCCTCTGCCAGAGTCCTGGACAGTCCTGTGAGCTGCTGCTTCCAAGAGAGGGATCCAGATGTGCTAATTTCCAGCTGTTGACATCCCTATGTTGACTGGTACTATTGGTTATCTCAGTGTTGGACATTATATCCTGATTATGCAAGGTTCATCCCCAAACCTGTCTCTGCGTTCCTCTCCCCACTCTTCCTCCTGCTCAGGGCTGTCTCCGGGCCCAAGCGGATCGCTTCTTCTCATTGCCTACTACAGTCTATCCCAGAAAAGCTGATTTCCTTATTGGTAAAATGAAATGTGATACCTACTGGCTTTGACACTTAACAGAATGCTATGAAAAATGTTCAGTCTCACGTGATCAACACAAGATAAATCTTCTTGGATGTCAAATTTCCTTTTCACACTAAGATCTGCATAGTAACATTTAGCAAATACTATTCCCCTGCTTAGCTGCTATATGCAATAGTTAACAGAGCAGTGATCTCATCAGTGAACTCATTATTAATGTCTAAACATGTGGGAACTTATAACATTCCTAAATATTTATGTAACTGTGTGAGTGGGTTTTCAGCTATTGTGAAAAACCCACGTAAACCAAGTAAAGACATTTCCTCATGTCTTAGAGTTAACAAAAGTAAGTTTCTTGCCTTTTCTTTTTGCCTTTTTTTTTTTTTTTTCAGGAAATAGAAATAGATTTGAACGTGAATGTCTTCTGTTCTGGAACTTAAATACAGTCATTTTCTTATCTAAAAGTTTTGAATATGTTTATACAGCGTGTTTCTGATTCTTCATCACGTCACTGTCCAGCCCACAAGCAACTGCCTGCTCCCTTTTTCTTCCAACTGATGTTTTTTTCTGAATTGTTCTTGATGTGGTTGAGTCTAAAATGCTGCTGGTCCCTACCTGTTAATTCATATTCTGAAAACAAAATCCCAGCCTAGTAGCAGTGCTTTCTAATGTGCAAACTAGAAATATAATGCTCCCTGTAACTACACTACAAATTTGACTTCAAAATGTTGTATCAGGTTGATGTTTTATAAAATGATGAGTGAAGCACCCTTTGATGTTTCTTTTGTGAGTCTTGCAATATCTTATGATTTACTTTAAAACTCACATCCTAGGAAAAAACTGTGTACAACTGTTTCAACACCAAAGAATTAATAATAAAACAACTTCTCTAGCCTCCTAGAAGGTTTCCAGGAAGTTTCTCCTATATTCTGTGACACAGAAACAAAAAGGCATTAAAAATAATTTGAGTGGGCAATATTCAGTATAAATTGGTTGAGTTTTTTTTTTTTTAAATTAAAATAATATTATTACTGTATACGGGGTTTTTTTTTTGTACATTCCATTATTCGGAGTGCACTGTTTTATAGTTCTTGTTCTTGATCTCACATGGTGACCCAATCACATAAAGCATTGGCATTTGTGTCATTTGAAGATATGACATCATATTTTTTAATGACTTTCAGAGTCATATTGTTGCGTCTCCTGCAAATTTATAAATGTAGAATTGCAGTATCGAGTTGTAATCTTCCACCTGCATTATTTAATTTTTTTTATTTTAGTTGCTGTTGAAAGGAGATTGTTCGCCTCAGGGCAAGGAGTTCAAGTAGTATTGGAGAGGAGACCTTATTGCCCTCTGCAGCTACCTAAAAGGAAGTTGTAGTGAGGCCACTGTTGGTCTCTTCTCCCAAGTAACTAATGACAGGAGAAGCGGGAATGGCCTCATGATGTGCCAGGGGAGATTTAGATTGGACATTAGGAAAAATTGCTTCACTGAAAGAGTGGTAGACATTGGAACAGGCTGCCCAGGAAAGTGATGGAGTCTCACCATCCCTGGAGGTGTTCAAAAGACGTATAGATGTGGTGCTTAGGGACATGGTTTAGTGATGGGCTTGGTAGTGTTGGGATAATGGTTGCGCCTTCCAACCAAAATGATTCTATGATTCTACGAAAGTATCCTAACTAAAGTTCTTAAACGCATCGGATTCCTAAGAGAAAATAAACCATTTTCTCTCTGTGCCGAAACATGGCATCAGGCAAACTTTAGTGTTCCCAGTGTTATAAAATGTTTAAAGGAACATAATCAGTGTTTTTAATGTTATATCTTAATATTACAGAACATGAGTACCTATTTAACGTTACATCCTGAAGGAGACCTGTTGGTTGTGATTGACATTTAAGTTAAAGATAGACATTAATATGTGCAGGATAAGGCTACGCCTTAATCTGAGGTACAGCATTTTGGAAAAGAATGGAGGTGTTGTAAGTGTGTACAGCCAAATACAGTGCTTAGCAATGAATATACATCCCCAGGGTCGTTGTGCACACAGGAGAAATTACAGATAAGGTGAATCTCTTTTGATAAAGGGATAAAACAAGTGTGATAGATAAAGTTAATGAGAATCAGAACTGTGTAGTAATTGTTATAAGCTTATATTATATAATACGAACAGAGAGTGCTATCAGGTATTTGTGAAAGGTTTATGTTTGCGGTTTGTCATCTGACAGGTAGACTGTCATTTATGTGTGACACTGACAATGTTGAACCTCCTGTTGCATAGTTCACTCCAGTTTCAAAAGTACCTTCATCTGACTTTTTCTAGACTACGGATTGCCTTTTCATGCTTAGTTCTGAAATATGAGCTTTTAATAAGAACTGCCTATCCTTACCAGTTCTGTGGCCCTCATGATGTACAGAACTATGCTAAAATGCCTTTCTGTCAGTTTTGATGGAATGTCATGATATGTCTGTCCCACACACTATTGTGCAATCATCCCTTTAGTGGACAAGCTGGATTTTTTTATTACTTTGATTTGCTACGTATTGCACTTCTTAAATTGTAGACTCTGTATTTCTGAATTGAATGAGCAAATAATAGACTGAAAAAATTAAAGCTCTCAGTCTGGTTGACACAAGCAAAAGGAGCACTGGGCATATCTTCAGAAATACTATTGGCATTTTTTATTAGATGGTTTTATATAGATGATGTATCACAATTCCTTTCTAACGTAATTACACAAAAAACGTTCTTTCTAGCTCTGCAGTATTTCGTCTATATACATGTATATAGATGGCCACAAAAAGAAAGAATTCACCTAGCAATTTATAGGAAAAGAAATCAGTTTCATACATTGCAGTAGATAATAATGATAATGCCTACAGCTTTCAGGCCATGAGTCAGTAAGGCACTTTACTACATGATTTTAATTCATTTACTGAACTGGAGCATTACTGAATGAGATTGCTAACAAAGGCAGAGGTATTGGAGATGGTGGAAAGACAGGCTGAAGAAAGAACTATTTAATCCCCAGCATCTGGAGACTCCCACGGTGAAAGAAATATATGTAAGAATGGTTTATATTTATACCTAACATCATGATTTTTTTTTGTTGAAATAGACCAGTACATCCCCAGTCACATCACTGATGCTGGATTGACTTAGATAATGATCTGGGTGATAAAACTAAATCCTTTTGAATAAATAAAATTGAACTTGCAAGGTGGCCAAATAAGCAAATGCAATCTGCTTAATAAATCCTGATATAGTATATCTTGGCTTTCCCATATTATCTAAGGTTTGAATAAAATGTAATTTATTGTAACAGATATTTCATCTTCATGGGTAAGACCTAGTCATTCTGCACAATTGTTTCTTGTGAAGTATAAGCTATTTTGTAGCTTCAGTACCAGATTCCCTAACTTATTTACTGGGGGAGGTAGGTATATTATCAGGTTTTTCTTCTGTATGATTTAATGCAGTGACAACAGTCTCTGAAGAAAATTCGAATACCAGATAGTAGTTTCACAAGACCATTATCTTTTGATTGCCAAACTTTAGAGTATTTCCCAGACCAACTGATGAAGTAAATAATTGCTCATCCTCTATATTATTACTGCCACCCTGGATCTCTGTGGGGGACTAAAGGGAAACAGAATTTTCTTAGGGTGAATTTTATGAAGAGAAAGATATTTGTCTAGTGCTTAGCCAGGAAAACTGAATCACTGAAGGAACTATTTACTCCTAATTTTTCTGTTATTGTTCCAAAGCCTTTATTCCACTCTTCTTCTCTCCTCCATTATCTTTCCTCGGGTTTCTTTAGAGAAAATAAAGAAACAATTACAAAAAAAGTAAAAGTTCAAGAACAAATTTAAAACTAAAAAATGCTATAGACATTCATAGAAAAAGAGTTGGTACAAACCCATATTTAAAACTCTCCTACATAAATTATGGATATTACTTGCCATGGGAACTGAGAGAAAGGGTATGCCTTAAGTGTAGCAAAATAACAGTATTCTGATTCTATTGCATGCAGACATCCATTGCCTGTTACCTTACAGTCCAAATGAATATCCATTGGCATGACAAAGTGACTGGGCATGAAGTCCTAGATAAAGATTCTCCCCAAGAGCTGATTCACCCTCAGTAACCAAGTCAAGAACGCCAAGAGACCCAGCCCTAGCAGCGTAGATGATTTAAAGGATGCATAAAAAGATGCAAAAGAAGCATGAGAAAAGAAAGCAAGGTCCAACAACTGTAGGTCTCAAAAGTTTTGGATTAACACACCACTGTCAACAGTCAGAATTTCTCAAGGCTCACCGTGTACTTAGAATTGCATCTTTAACTGAAATCTCTGGAATGATCCAAGTGTTTGCGTTTATTCTGGCCTTATGGCCTGTCATGGCCGTGGACGACATATGAAAACTGCAGACCTAGAAAAAGCTGTGCTCAAACATAAAATGTTTGTTGAGTTTTCAGTTGTTGTTCTGAACCTAATCATGAAGAAAATCCTGCCACAGATGAGTAAGCACTGATAAATTTAGGCCTGTGCACTGTCTGTGAATATGCTGAGAGCTATATTAGGATCTAATAACAGCCATCACTTGGTGGACTTTTGTGTGGACTTAAGGCAACGGTTGGGGTACGTGGTAACAACAACTTAGACTCAGCTTGACTCAACTAAGTCAAGTTCACTCAGATCCAGCAACTATTCGGTCAGACACAACTTTGTGTGAACAGATTCTTTTTCTTCAAACAATTCTAAAAATTCACAGTAGTCAAGGTATCCAGTCTGTTCTGGATCAATTATCTCAATTAACTCCTGGAAGTCTTTATCTTTCATTTGAAACACCAAGTTATTTAAAACATGACGAAGGTCATTTCTTGTGATCTTTCCATCCCGTTTCTAAGACAAAAAAGAGAAAGCATGCCTAAAAAAGAACAAACATTTACTAAAGGAATGCTTATTCCAACACGCCATTCCACATTGCTAGATCATCCTGACCTATAATAATTGAGAGTTCTGTAGCTGTTTCTATAGCCTGTGTATACTCCAGTTTCCAGTGAACATAGTACTGGAACATTCTCTGGATGGAAGACTAAAACCATGGGAATGAAGCTACAATGATCTTTCCATTACCTTGGGATATAGATTCTTTAGCTGGCTGGCAAACTGTGCCATAAGCAAATTGGTATGTAAACTTGCTTTGCACAGACCAGCTCACGTTCAGGTCAGTTTATCATCTGCATTTCATTTCTTACCTGGTCTGGAATCAATGTACTTTTAATTCTCTAATCACAACGTCTTTTATAATGGCTGTAGCAAAATACTGGGTTATTTTGGTAAAGTGGCATGCTCTGCATACGGTTTTTATCTAAGTTAGTATGTTCACATTCATTCCAGTGTTGGAATAATTGTATCAGCACTCCTGACTTTTTTTCTGAGACATCAATTGGAAACTAATCTCATGGTTACTGGAGGTTTTTGAAAACTCCAGCAGAATCACTAGCTCATACATGTGCGTACAGCAGAGGAGAAACAGTAGTAGTACTTCTTAACTTGCAGTTGTCAGATCTGTTTTGCTGGTATTTTGCTGTTTCTTCTTTTATCTATTATTCTTTATAATATGCATTGGTTCAAAATATATGCTATATACTACACAGATGCTGCATATTTTCCTGGGTACAGCTTTGACACGTTCTGAATTTGCAGTCATCTTATAATATTTTCCTTTAGAACCATTCACCAAAGGTACAGAGAGGTTATATGCTGAAACCCACAGTCAATACTTCTGTGCAGTATGTCCGTTTCCTTTGACAGAAATAAGTCAATACTTTTTTGCTTACTGAATTATTCTAAGAAATAACCTAAGCTGCAGTTTGCAAGTCTACTTTCTAATATTAAGAAGCTGTTCATAATTTTCAATGTCAACTCTCTCAGTTTTGCATTAGTATATCAACTGACTAACTCCATATTTAGCTTTGTCTTAGGTAGTCTGGGTAGTGTTTTTGAGAGGTATCAAAAAAGGACAGTAGTGTCAAGAGATACTAGATGCACAAAAAGAAGGTCCCATTGAAGAGCCCTGAATGGTGTGCATTGCTTTGAAACGCTTTGATGTTAGGAGCTGAAACAGGCTGCTTTCCACTCTGATGGCTCCAACAAAAGCAACATTTGATGCAGCAGCTCAAGTCCCTTCCAGCTTGTTTTGAGTAGAATAATGGTATGGCTGAAATTCTGGGGCAAACTTTAGTAGCTGTAAAATTAGCATGCTGGGGAAAATGCAAATGCTGACAGTGCCTACATGTGCAAATGATGTGCAAACTAAGTGGGATTTACAAATTAAGCTGGTTAGACTCAAATTAGAGATGTGCACAGATAACTAGCCATTTTTGTTGTTTAAAATAAGCGTCCCAAATGAAGTAAATGCTAGCATGCAGGAAGGCAGGTAAGGGAAATGTTGAACGTCTTAGAACATTGTCATCTTGGGATGAAATACCACCAGAGATGGCACAGCAGCCATACATGACCCTGGCAGCTGTGGTTCTGCCCAGAGGACAGATCTGTTCTGAACTCTGTGACTGGGTTAGTACCCAGCTCTTGATGAAAAGCAGCTGTACGGAAGCCTAGGTGTCTGGGAATCCTTTTGTTTTGTGTCCTGAGTGGCAACGTCAGCTCCATCAATATGGCTCATCCTGTAGAAAAGTGAGATTACAGGTTGTACAAATAAAAGAGAACTTTTTCAAGAAATCTCTTTGTGGTTATCATTCCTCTAGGAAATGATTCAGTCAGAGGAATCGGAAAAGCAACAATGGGCAGAACCAGAACCTGAAACCAACCTAGGTACCCAGCCAGCCAAGACAACCCAAGGGGCATCTTGACCTCCTTCCTTTCCCCTGAAATTTTGCATAGTACAGTGTTTGGTTAGATCTGCAATTATGCTGAGATTTTTTTGTCAAAATGTGATCCTGTTTTTGTTTCTTCTCAGAACTTTCTGTTGCTAATGTACTCAATTTACAAGTGAAAACCACTTTTATTCTAAGTGCTAGTGCTACAGACAGATCCTAAAGCAGGTTCAGTAACCAGAATCTGTCATTATTTTACCCTGTGCAAGCCCACTGTCTTCAAATGATGCACTAAGTTGAATGCCACTTACAATTCATTCAATCCTAGTGGATTTTGTTTTACAGGACTAAGGGGAGAAACAGACAGCAAAAGCTCTTTGTTGTTATCAGTCAGTAGACACGCCTCTTCAGTCGCTTGAATCAGATCTATGAAGTGAGATATACGCTTTCTTGCAGTTGCTTTTCAGTCAGTTTTCAGAACAAAAATGTTCAAGTGTAAATTTTGGGCCTGATGTTGCATCATGTCTTGAAATTAGCGCACTAAAATTATTTTAGTTGAACATAACTTTGTTTTAAATTAGGTTGTTCATGAATAACTTAATGGAACAAACCAAATAAAGAAGCCTGCTCTTCTTGATCTAGCTTGTAATACTGTAAGTGATAACATAGTTCATTTTCAGAAGTGTTGGTCTTCCAACATTAGATTTGTCATTTTGGTACATCTTTTCATCTGGTAATGCTATCATAGTTTAACCTCAGGGACACTTTTTTTTCTTTCCTTCATTACTAATTCATTCAATTGTTAGGTGGAGAAGATCCTTTCAGATAAAATCAGAGAAAACTGGAAAGATTTTCATAAGGCTTTGCAGTCCTATGATCCTAAGTGTACTGGCACTATTAACAGAAGTCATCTAAGAAAAGTCCTACAGCTGTGTTGTCCCTCTTTGTCAGATCAACAATTTATGAAGTAAGTTGATGATGTGTGAGTTGTAACAGATTTAATGTAATTTCTTTTCTTACCATATCTTTCTTCCCATCTTTTAATATGACAGCTATAGCTGGAGGCATTAAGTATTTTGGTTTGCCTTAAGCATATAGAAAAGAAAAGGTCGTGGAAGATGTGCTCCATTCCTCATGGTATCAGCTTGCAAATCGCTTATTTGCTTTCATAACAATTCCATGTTGGAAATTTTGGGGAGTTTGACATTATTTCAGCATTTCAAAGGTGAGACAAGCCTTTTCAACAAAGGAACAACTGATGTGCTAGAGATCCAAGGCACTATCCGACATTATTTAGTATTTCCAAACACAATACAATACAAAACTAATTAAATTAATGTTATGTCTTTCCTCAATAGACAATTGTTGTAAAGAACAAGGAACTGAAATTTAATATTATCAACAAGAGATCTTCATTTTTGATACGAGCAGGCTCCCCAAAGTGGGGAGTCAAAAGACCTACAAGCATGGGGAACATGGGGTCAAAATATCTATGTCCAAAGAAGTGGGAATTGTACTAGGCATTTTATTGCAATAACATTTCTGTCAGTTTATAATCGGGTCTAATCTACTCTCTCAGGAGCTCTAGTTTTCTCTGCTTACAGCCAGTGACTTTCAGAAAGATGTGGAATTCTTTCCTACCTTTGAAAACATAATGGGAAAATCAAAGAAATCAGTTCCCGTCTGACCCTTACAACCTAGGTCCTGCTGATCATTGTGTGTGAGGAGCAAACACAACAGCATCAATAGGAAATGGCTTTTGGAAAATAATCTTTGATCCTGAAATATGAATGAGCATGAGCGTGATCAGTAAAACCAATTCTACTGTATGCATTTTCCTTTCTATAAATGTCTTAGAGAAAACTTTGGGTGCTATGCATTGGGTTCATAAAAGTCACGTTTCCAGCACTGTGTGTTATAACTATATGCTTTCATCATCTGTCAGTTTTATAGCTCTGTATTATGTAGTATATAATTAGTGGTCATTGATCATGAACAAGTAATTATCCTTTGAATTACCTGGGACTCAGCAGTTATACAATTTTCAAAATAATGTTTCCACCATTATTTGTGTCAATGAGAGATCTGTACTACAAGAAAAGTCAGGAATTACAGCCACTTTGAATTGGAAAGTGGTCTTTACTTGAAATTCTAAACGTTCCCTGTAAGAAAATAATATAGAGTAGGGTAATGAGAGGCAAACTGTTAAGGTTCAAGTCGTTCATCATTGTGGTCAATGGCTGTTTTGCTTTTGGTTTAAAAGGATGCAAGATAAGCCTTGTGAGATCAGTCTGGTGAAATGCTGAACACTGAGGCTGTGTTTTCACAAAGCACAGGAAGAAGTGGATGCAATACTTTTAGGATTTCTGTTACAGTGAACATTGAACATCTTTGCATTATTGAACTGTGGCATTGTTGAAAAATGTGGGTATCTGTGTTTAGCAAGGCAAGATGTGCAACACCATAGATGGGGTGAGTTTGGAATCTTTTTATAGCAATAGCATCTAAAATATATATCTAAAAGATAAGGTTTGGATTCCATTGTCAAAGACACTCAGGGACATATAGTTTTGCACTGACCATGTTCAGTCCATGAAAACAGGATCTCATTCACACCATATTATTAATTCTTCTGTAGTAAACATTTCTAAAGGCACCTGTTCTTAGCAGTATCATGCATCAGGGTTATGTTCTAGAGAGTTGATAATCACACTGGAGAAGAAATGTAATTCTTATAATAAGATGAAGATAGAATTTATACTCAACAATGCAATAGAGATGGCCTACTTGATTGAAGAAGTATTTGGTTTTAGGATAAATGAGTAGAAATATAGCTAATTAAGTTAGAATGGGCTTAACCACAGGTGAGGAGATATTTTGAAAAATCTTCTTTGTTGTAATCTGCTTTTAGAGTTGTCACTTAGATTTAGCTTGACTCAAAAATATGCTTTGACTCGCATCTTTCTACCAATCTGTATTTCTTTGTTTCAAATGTCGCATTAATTTATATGTTAAATCTTATTTAAGACTATCCTAGGAAAATGTTGTGGATTATGCACAGAAACAGTGGATGGCACTGTTCATTCGCTGCTCTAAAGTGGTAAGAAATGTCAGGTTTAAAAAGGCTGTATTTTAAAATAATAAGCAAAAAAAAAAAAAAAGTAATTGACTCCTCTAAATGCATACACACTGGGCTTAAGACTATCACATCTGTGCTGGGAATGTCATAACCAGATTGGGGATTTAGCACGGGTGCTTTAAGGGATGCAGGGGTTTTGAGCAAAAGGTGATGAAGTGACTGAATTACGTTCTGAATTCCAGTGGTTCAGCTACATCAGTCTTATTTATTTGAAATGATACTTCTGCTTTGGGGGGCTTCTACTATAATTGGACTTTTGCATTGATGTGACTCATCCTGAGGCACTTGAGGACAATACTGCTATCGCTGCAGCAGAATAGCTGGCATGCTTGTCCCAGATGGCTTCCTGTGAGATGACATTCAGACTGGGGAAAAGAGGGAACAATTTTTAAGGGCATTTGGAAGCCTTTTATGGATTACACTCACAAAGCAGATGTTGCTCTGTAGTGTTCACAGCCATTTTCTGTGTGAAGGCTACACTTGGTTTAGCGGAGCAGAGCT